TACCTTAATAAGCATTTAGCCTTAAATGCTGAATTTTAAGAGGTACACCCCTTAAAGCAGCATTTACAACAACTTTATGCATTGAAATCTTTGGTCAACAAGAATGAAATTTGAACCACTTTAGAAAGTGAATCGGACAATTTACCAAAGGGCTTCTAGCCCAGCGGTATCAGGTGGTGCCCTCCCTCTTTGAGGTCGAGGGTTCAAGTCCCGTCGTGGACATAAGTGGAATTAGGTGTTAGTTTAGGAGTAGATTATATATTTGTAATTTCCGGTTCAAAAAAAATCGGTCAAATTTAAATTGATATTCCTACAATGTCGCCCAATTAAATCTGTCAAAGAGCAATTGAATCAGTCAAATATGATATGCGAACAGAACTCCACTACACAATCTTCGTACCTATATCTAGAATCTCGCCTCCTTCCCAACTGGATAACATAAAATTGGTCTCCCATACTCTCCCATGGCCTCCCACCTAAATTTTTCCTTGGAAAACCCTAACCACAAAATCTGACACCCACCACCAACCACCACTCTTTCTCTGTTGCAGATGCGTTCCATCACCGTCATCGGCACCATCAATCGAAACCCCTACACCACCTTCCACAACAAAAATGATGTCGATGATACACCTTCTCTGCCTGAATTTATTCGGTTATTTTGATGATTAAGCTCTGTATTCCTTATCTCATGAATGCTCTCATCGTCGTGGTGGGTCCACATGATCTGATTTGGTAACTTTCAATTTATGTGAACTAGGTATTTTGCTTATTCTTCTTCTGATGAAAAACATTATCTATTTTTGCATTTGAACAATCTGTTTAGCTTTAGGTTTCTTTAAGATAAAAAATTGAAGTTATTTGTATCTGTATTCAGGTTTTGCAAGCAAATCTTAGATTTTTTTTACCCAGATAATTTTTATTTTAGGTTAGATTTCCTTCAAATCGAAGTTCCTACAATTACTTTTGATTTTAGGGTCGATCGATATCATGTTATATTTATTGATTTCTTTCAGAACAAGAAGGCTAGAAAATCACCGCCCTTCCTGGTGCATCGACACAGCCACCCTAAAATGACTCAACCTCCAGACTCATCGTTGCAATCACCACAATCCACCGCCACCAATACATGCATGCTCCAACATCCAGCAAACGTTGTTCTCCACCTCTCTTACTCGAAAAATTCCTAAATGTCCTCTTTGTTACTCCAGAAACCCTTTAAGTTGAACTAGGTATGAAATTGAAGGTTACGTGTATCTTTCTATCTTTCTCCCGTCTTTCAACACATAGAAGCATCAAAATTACTTTTAATTTTACAATAGTTTGTTCGTTTTATAGTGAAGTTGTGTTGCAATGTTTTTGCTTATTTGGGTGTTTGTGATAATTTTTTTATCAGGGCACAATTTTGATATACATCTGACAAGAAGTAGATGGTCAGTCAAGAAGTGGATGAAAAAGACCATGAGATCTTAATGTACGATCTAGAGGTAAGCCATTCAAATAAAATGTTTTCACTTTTTCTTTTTTGATTCAGTGTTTTTGAATATAGTGAACTTCTAAGACTAAAAACCTAAAACGTCGTCTGCACCACCACTGAGGTCTCTCTCTCTCTCTCTCTCTCTCTCTCTCTCTCTCTCTCTCTCTCTCTCTCTCTCTCTCTCTCGTNCTTCCTGTCAACAACATATGGTGAAATCGGCCAATTTTAGCATATACTTCATGTACTATCTTTCTTCCCTTTAGTTTTTTGTTAGAAGGTCTTAATTTTGAAATTTATTGGCTTTTTTCATCTTGAAGCTCTTTGTCCATGAATCATTTCTCCTCTCTAGAAACCGCCTTCTACAAAAGTGATGCCAACTCTTTATTGTTTAGGTATTATCTTATTTTTATTCAGATATTTGTATAGATTTCATGATTTATGTAGAAAATATATTTGGGATTTTTTGTTATCTTAGGGTAAAAGTATCTGTTTGTCACAAATTTGTATATAATTCATTTTGTAGGTTTTTTTAACGGGTTTTCATTGTTGGTTTTATTCACAGATATGCTATTTTTGGTGATTCTGACAAAGACAAAGCAGAGTTTATTGTTGGTTCTTTCCTCAGGATATTTAATTTGTTAGATTAAGGAAATGGAAAGGATATTGACTAGATTAAGGGGAGGAGTTACATTAGTAAGGCCAGAAGAGCATAAATGTGTTGAGAAAACTTTCTCAGTTGTAACAGGTCACTAGACAACAAATGAAGGATTCTATGATTTAGTGTTGGCCACGAGACACTATTTCCAACCTTGGTTGGCTACGATCAAAAGTGAAAATCAGATCCCCCTATCATACCTATATGTATATCAGTATATATAAATCTTTGTATGTGTGTATTTTTGTTCCAAAACCATTAAAACCTTGGCACATATTTATGGTTTGAAGCCTCGACATCGTTAAATATCCCAAAGCCCCATTATCGAGAAAACATACATTCATTAATTTATCAATTTAGCCACTGAATAATTACTTTTCCTTATGATTGTAACGTTATAGTTTAGTGCATAAATCTATAATATGATTAAATTATGCGGTGCTTTTTTGTAAGTTGTCCTAATATTGAAATCGGGTAATCTGCAAACAAGGTATTTATAAATGATCAAAAAGGTGTAATGGCTTACAAGTGATTTTTTATAACTTTCCTTATATTTATAAATTTATTTGTGTTTTGGAAGGAAGTGCATGACTAATGTTTGTGTGGTTTATGCTAGGATGGACGCTCAAGGCTCCTAATTATGCAATTTATTTCCAATTAACTTCTAATATTTCTTAGTTATTTTTTACCTTATACTTGCAGGTTTTTGATTTATATGGAGTTGATATAAGGCAGAGATGATCAACATTAAACCTTTTAAAGAAACTCAACCTTAAGGTAGACATGAAAATAATTTTAAACGCCATTTTTAGCATTTTCTAATATATATGACAACATTTTTGCTAAATTCCATTTATTTCTATTACAACATCGTACTTTGATTAATTCATACACTATTGTAACTGAAATAACCATCAAAACAGAGGAAATAGAAAAAATAAATAAATTAGATTTGTTATTGATGTGTCGCTATGTTAAAAAGGTTTCTTACTTGCAAATGGTTTCATGGAAATGGCTTATTTTGTTTATTATGTTTTTTAAACTCTGTGTTGTTTGTTATAGGAACAACATAGTTTGTTTAATAATGACAAGTTTTTCTATGAAATTGAAGTCATTTGAGTTTCTGAGTCAAATGGAAGCATGTTTATATAATAAAACGGAACACTTTTATGTATATGTGAAGGTTTCATCTCTCCGGTCGAGGTAGTAAGTGGTTCTATGTTCCCCATTTTGACCATCGATATGGAAAAATTATTAAAAACAACCGACTGGTTAATAACTTTGTATAGTTAATATATCATTTATATATTTGACTATCTTCTTTTACTTTTCTTCAAGGAACAAGACATGGTAGCTTAGGGAGACTTTTATATGGTGTATAATATAGGAGAGTTTTATATGGAAAAATTATTAAAAACAACCGACTGGTTAATAACTTTGTATAGTTAATATATCATTTATATTTGACTATCTTCTTTTACTTTTCTTCAAGGAACAAGACATGGTAGCTTAAGGAGGCTTTTATATGGTGTATAATATAGGAGAGTTTTATATGGTGTATAATATAGGTGAGAATTGTAACTAAAGAAAACCATTGATGTGTGGTTGTTGCTATGGAGAATAGAGGACCAGTTCATGTTTATCTTACTATGTGAGTTTCCAAATCACTATTCTTTTTTATTTAATTTTCACCAAAAACAGAGTTATTCTCTAAATGATGAATGTTTTCATATTTGTCCAGGTGTGGGATAGGGAAAGTAATAGGTCTCCTATTTTTTCATAGAATATGTCACCGTTAATGGAAAAATAAGATTGTTCTAACCTTATCTGCGCATCACACACAAATGGTTAATTAAGAAAGTAGATTTCCATTTTTGTGTGTGTTTCCGTGTGTGGCAAAAATAGAAATAACAATAGACTTTCTATTTTTGTCTGACACATGCAACCATACCAACTGAAATAACATTGCACTTTTTGTTTTTCTTTCATTACAACATCCTACTACTTAACAGTATTGAAAGTTGATTTTTTTTTTACTTGTATATCATACTCTTTTTACAGTTTTTTTCACTGTATTGAAAGTTATTTTATGAATTTTTGATTTTTTTTATCATCATAATTTCTCTTAAAATAGCATTGTATTATAACTGTATCTTAATGAACGGTTCCTTATATATGATATCTGTTTTTTCTACCATTGAATTTGATATGATCTATGTTTTTTGAGTCATGGGATGAAAATTTGAAGATGAGAAGTCCTATATTTGATATATTAGTTTTTTTTAGTTTGTTGTTTTGGTTTTTTAGATCAACATTGTACTTTGTATATTTTCAGAAATTTTTTACTTATCTAAGATTTATTAATAAAGATCCTTGGTAAAAGTTTCAAATAGGCCTAGTGTATATATTATATTTTTTTATGTAAAAAGTAAATATTGTTGTAGAATTTGTTTTAAGAGAAGTCATGGATGTTTAAGAAGTTTATTTTAATAGGTTTTTGGCATTTTTCTGAT